TTTTTTTTTGGGGGGGGGGGGACATTAGCCACAAACCTCACATAAAATTGGAATTAACCACACTTTTTAGTTTAACTTTAAACATATACTACAATTAACAGAACTACTATTCTGAATGTCACATTAATAAATACTGTAAACCATAATAATTTTACACAACTCATAGGTATTGGTGAATTTTCTCATGCCTTTAACTCTATCATGTCTTGTTTTCAGCTCTTCTAATATCAGTAGTCTTTCAACATTTATTTTTTTGTTAACCCAAGTATAATATTGACTGTTTGCATTTGAATACAAAGAAGACATCTGTTGTATTAATCCAAAGTGCTGAAGAACTCAGGGTAATGGATGGAAGTAACGAGGTAGATGCTGGATTAATAAAAAGAATGTTCCAAAAATTAGAGTTTTATTTTTGAGAAGAGCAGCTTCTTCATGACACAGTGAGTTATTGGAGGTGTTTGAACATAGGCAGAAAAGCCTAGTAGTGAGTAGGAAAACATAGTGAGGGACTCCTACCTAGAGAGGGGAGAAATAGACCAAAGACCTTTAAGGTCTCATCTAACACTAAGATTCTATGGCTAATGAATACTTAACTTTTACATATTTGATACTGAAGAGGTAATCAAGAGTTTTGAAAAAGACTTCACTTTCCTTAAGGTGGCTCCTAAAATTTGTAAACATATATCCCTAGAATAAAATGGGAGTAGAACTATACTGAATTTAGTAGTCACATGGTACCAATGACCTACAGTATTGGAGCTGTTTCTCTTTACATTTAGAATCTCTGAACCCCCCCCCTCCAAACGTCACTGGACCCACTTTTATAAAGATGGGAAAGAGAAAAATGTAGAGGGAGGTTTTTTCTCCCTCTATACCATAATGCCACTAAAAATTAGTAAAATTAATACACAGTATTAATAAACTAAAGATCACTTGTCATTAATACCCATTTCAAGTACTTCTCAGACCTCGTTTTTCCTGACAATTTCAGAATTCATTCAGTAGTTTAAGAGGCTGTGATCCCCAGCTTTTTATCACAGTTGGGACTTTTATTGATGGTTTAACTGAAGAATCAAAGATTAAATGGGCCTAAGCAAGCAAATTATTCCTGTACCTTACATTTTTGACAACACTTTAAAATTTTCCTTTTGGTAACAAGCTACAGAAATTTCATATATTAGCTTTCGTATTTAAATGGAAAATCCTTTATCATCATGGTATTATAAAGCCTGAGTTTCTACCTTGAGGCCCCTTATTATTTTTATCTTTACCCACCTCAAGTCTATGCACATCCACTGTTCTTTGCCTTTAGCTGTATCCATCAAACATCTAAAGTGAAAATTATGTGACTGTGAACTGACTTTAAAAAGCCATTTTTATTTCAAGTCCTAAGGATTAAGGTAATTCAACAGGGTAACTTAAAAACTATATATCTATGCTAAAATATTTATTCCCCCAAGGAATCCTGAAATACACTTTTATATAAGTATTCTAAAAAATAAAATGAAAATACTGTACAGTACAGTTTATGGTAAAACTTGTTTGTAGATTTGGGAACCTTAAAGTTTTCCTTTCTCTTCTTTCCCTTGCTTTTCTTTCAGTAGAAAATGTGCATCAGATGTTTATGTTTAATTGGTTTACAGACTGTCTGTGGACTCTTTTCCTGTCAAATTACCAGGTAATGTCTTTTCACTTAGCAGCTACTTCATATATCTGTAAATGCACAAATTATTATTGGACATAAGAATTTCAAGTTAATGTTGAATCTTTAGAAATAGGAAACTGCTTAACAGTCTAGAATTCTAAGGGAATACAAACACCGTAAGAAAACAGCCTCCCCCATATTGCCTTGTAAGTTAAGTATTAAAGAAAAATTTTATATGCGCACATTTGTGCAATATATTGTAGCACTGGCATTACATTATTTGGAGAGAATGAGCAGTTTTCATAGTTAACTTGGTGATTTTGGTAGTCATTTAAAAAATTGCATTGAGAGGAACCCTTGTACATGGGGGGGGGGCTGTCCTTTTGAAATAAGACTTTTAAACTCCTGGTTTAGTAAAATATGTTAATGCATGTTTTAATATCACCTTTGCATTAGCCAGTATGTACCTTAGTAGTGGAAGTGAAATATGTTTGTTATTTTGCAGTCATTGGCTCTGGCAATCAGAGCTGGCATTAAGGCCCATTGACAGTTCTAGGCCAATATGTTATAATAAACTTTCAAATTGCAGGCATTGTAGGCATTGCAAATAAGTTCTCCCTACATGCAGTCAAATCAGAGATTATGTCCATCAAAGAGCAGCTTTTCAATATTTCACATTTAAAATTGTTTCTCTAGTGGAAAATTCGACCATTGCACACTTACTTGTTACTGGCATGTCAGCAGGTGTGTGAGGAAAAGCAAAGCGAGGAGGATGGCAGACTACCTAACACAATCCCTTTTCTTAATCTCTGCCCGTATCGCTAACATTTTGAGATACTGAATTTTACATTTCCCATTGCAAATCAATCGAGGGAGGAGTATATATGTCAAGGGATAACTGCTTTAAAAGCGCACTACTTGCCGCTGTTGCATCACAGCAACATCCGTTTTCCAGCAATGCACTTCAGAAAAGGCCTACATGTAAAATATAACGTGTCTTTTTCCCTGCGGCGTGAATGCCAGAGGCGGTGCCTTTGGCACCCCTTGACTTCTCTAGATCCGAGAGTCCTCTGTCCTGGCTGGAGTCGCCGATCGGCCAGGTCTGGGACTTCCTGAGATGCCCACCTCCCTCCACACCCACCTTGACTCCGCCCCCGCCGCCCAGCACAGGGGGAGGGGGGAGGGCTGCCGCGGGCCCGCGCTCCAGTCCCCGCTCCCGCGCGCGCCGCCTTCTCCCTCCAGTCCAGCTCCGCCGGGTAGCCGCGAGGGGGCAGAGTGGGGCGTGGTGGGCGCGCTCGGGCTGCTTCTGCGCGTTCCCGCCGAGGCAGCG